GAAGCGAAGTGATGATGCAAGGGTCAGGTGGTCTCCCGGCGGCCAATCAGGAGGCGGCGGGCGAGGCGGCGCGGCGAGCCGAGAACTGCGTCGCCGAGTTGTCCATCACCAACGGCGACGCCCCCTTCCTGCCCGAGGTGAACGTCCGCACGGAGACGGAGCACGACGGGGTGGACCTGGTGGTGTTGGTGGTGGTGGTGTTGGTGGTGGTGGTGGTGTTGGTGGTGGTGGTGTTGGTGGTGGTGGTGTTGGTTGTGGTGGTGGTGTTGGTGGTGGTGGTGTTGGTTGTGGTGGTGGTGTTGGTGGTGGTGGTGTTGGTGGTGGTGGTGGTGTTGGTGGTGGTGTTGGTGTTGGTGGTGGTGTTGTTGGTGGTGGTGGTGGTGGTATTGGTGTTGGTGGTGGTGGTGGTGTTGTTGGTGGTGGTGTTGGTTGTGGTGGTGGTGGTATTGGTGTTGGTGGTGGTGTTGTTGGTGGTGGTGGTGTTGGTGGTGGTGTTGTTGTGGTGGTGGTGGTATTGGTGTTGGTGGTGGTGGTGGTGTTGGTGGTGGTGTTGTTGTGGTGGTATTGGTGTTGGTGGTGGTGTTGGTTGTGGTGGTGGTGGTATTGGTGTTGGTGGTGGTGGTGGTGGTGTTGTTGGTGGTGGTGTTGTTGGTGGTGGTGGTGTTGGTGGGCAGCGGTCGACTAGCGGTGAACGGCGCTTGCGCTTTGGACCCAGCCGACGGGTGTCTGAAGCGGTACCGGGCCTCCGCTAGGTCGATTCCGCCTCAAATGTGTGCCGTGCCGGCCTTCATAGGTGCTCGCTCACAGCACTTGCCCAAAAAAGTCTGTTGAGGCTATACAGGGGATCTTTGTCTTTTGTGTGTGTGTGTGTGCGTGGGGAGTGGTGGCGCAGTGGCTAGTGCACTTCACTAGGAGCCCGGTGACCCAAGTTCAATTCCTGCTGACGGCCAAAATTGGTGAAGAATTTCGAAACGGGTCGGTCCTTGGCAGCTGGGCGTGGTGTTGTCCACCCCCTTGCGTGCCGTGCCTGGCTTCATAGATGCTCGCTCACAGCACTTGCCCCAAAAGTCTGTTAAAGGCTACATGGGGGATCTTTGTCTGAGAGTGCCACGGGGGTAAGATGGTGTAACTCCCTCGCCTGGTGTACAGGAGGTCGTGGGTTCGATCCCGACCCTGACGCCTGCTGCTGCTGTATATTTGGAGTTTGCGTGTCTCTCTCATCATCATCATCACGGTGGCTAGGAGATGTTAACTACCTCGCCTGGTGTACAGGAGGTCGTGGGTTCGATCCCGACCCTGACGCCTGCTGCTGCTGTATATTTGGAGTTTGCGTGTCTCTCTCATCATCATCATCACGGTGGCTAAGAGATGTTAACTACCTCGCCTGGTGTACAGGAGGTCGTGGGTTCGATCCCGACCCTGACGCCTGCTGCTGTATATTTGGAGTTTGCGTGTCTCTCTCTCTCTCATCATCACGGTGGCTAAGAGATGTTAACTACCTCGCCTGGTGTACAGGAGGTCGTGGGTTCGATCTCGACCCTGACGCCTGCTGCTGTATATTTGGAGTTTGCGTGTCTCTCTCTCTCTCATCATCACGGTGGCTAGGAGATGTTAACTACCTCGCCTGGTGTACAGGATGTCGTGGGTTCGATCCCGACCCTGACGCCTGCTGCTGCTGTATATTTGGAGTTTGCGTGTCTCTCTCATCATCATCATCACGGTGGCTAGGAGATGTTAACTACCTCGCCTGCTATACAGGAGGTCGTGGGTTCGATCTCGACCCTGACGCCTGCTGCTGTATATTTGTAGTTTGCGTGTCTCTCTCATCATCATCACGGTGGCTAAGAGATGTTAACTACCTCGCCTGGTGTACAGGAGGTCGTGGGTTCGATCCCGACCCTGACACCTGCTGCTGTGTATTTGGAGTTTGCGTGTGTCTCTCATCATTATCATCACGGTGGCTAGGAGATGTTAACTACCTCGCCTGGTGTACAGGAGGTCGTGGGTTCGATCCCGACCCTGACACCTGCTGCTGTATATTTGGAGTTTGCGTCTCTCTCTCATCATCATTTGGAGTTTGCGTTTTTCAATCTCTCCGTGGTCACGTGGATTTTTCTCCGGGTCAATCTTTTTTTTCCTCCAAATTTAGAATCAACGTGATTTTCCAGCATTTCGCTGCGATACATTTCCCACGTGATAAACCACCACTTTATTGGGCTATCGTTCGTGGCCAGTAGCTCTGTGGGCCTTACCTGGTAAAACACAAACTAGCTGAGAGAGTGAGTGTGTGAGAGTGAGTGTTGTTACTCTTAGGTTTTTTCGGTAAAGTCACGTAGGTAAAAAAATCTAATTAAAATTAATAAAAGTAAAATAAAAATCACGACGTTTCGGAGGCAACACAAGCTTCCGTCTTCAGGTGGGACCGTCACAGCACGATTGCTGTATCAAGTGAAGTAACTGTTTGTGTTGCCTCCGAAACGTCGTGATTTTACTTTTATTAATTTTAATTATAATGTTTTACCTACGTGACTTTACCGAAAAAACCTAAGAGTATGAATTCTTGCAGTCACGAAAGCTTCAAATCTAGTGAGTGTTGTTGTTGTTGAGTGTGTGTTGCAGTATCAGTCTGTTGGGCGTTCACTTCCTTCCCCCCCTCCCCTGCCCGAGACGCGATGTCATTGTGTCGCCCACGGCGCGTGAACAATGGGGGACTTCCTCACGCTATAGTCCATCCTCCAGTGCCCTTCCTGTGTGTTGTCTGTCTTCTCCCGTCAATCTTCTGCCCGGCATCCCCCCCCCCCGTGTCCATCCTGCGTGTCCATCTTCTGGCAGGTCGCCACCTTCGCTCGTTGTTGTGACCAGCGGGGAGCTCAGGCGGTGTAACATCTGTCGGTCATCTTGAGTCGGGTCAACCCGTGCCACCTGGGTTTGTCCATGTGCACGCCTGCTTTCACGCTTGGAAGTGCATCTAGCCTGGCGCAAGGGTTAGAGGGTGAAGTCACCGTCACTTTGTGGCGAGTGGCGGCTATTGTTGTTGTCCATCTGGTGTCCATCCTGGTGTCCATCTTCGTGTGTTTGCACAAACACATCTGTGGTTGAGTTTGTGCGTGTGTCTGTGTGTATGTGTGTATGCATGGGGAGCGGTAGTGTAGCGGTTAGCGCGCTGCGCTATGAACCTGGCGACCCGGGTTCGATTCCCGCTCACGGCCAACACCAGTGACGATTATCTGAACCGGTCCTGGGCCTCCCCTAGGTCGACTCAGCCTTAAATGAGTACCTGGTGCGGTGTGTAAACACCGCCACTGGGGAGACAAAGGCGGTCGGGCGTGGTGCTGGCCACCCACCCCCTCGTTCGTGTACCGTTCCGGCCTTCATAGGTGCTCGCTAACAGCACTTGCCCCTACAGTCTGTTAAGGCTATACAGGGGATCTTTATCTTTTGTATGCAGGTGGATGGGTGTGTGTTTTTTTTCTTGTTGGGAGCGGTAGTGTAGCGGTCGGCGCGCTGCGCTACGAACCCGGCGACCCGAGTTTGATTCCCGCTCACGGCCACGAACACCAGCGACCAATTTTAACGAACCGATCCCAGTTTGAAATAATCAACTCAAATGAGTGCCTGGTGCGGTGTGCAAAACATCACCACAGTGGAGAATATTTGAACCGGTCCTGGGCCTGCCCTAGATAGATTCGGCCTCAAATGAGTACCTGGTACGGCGTGTAAACACCTCCACTCGGGAGACAAAGGTGCTGAGCACACCGACCCCGTCACGTGCCGTGCCGCCCTTCATAGAGGCCCGCTGACCAGAGGTCGCAACCGGGTACCCGATACCCGTACCCTACCCGATACCCGGCTACCCGTACCCGGCCGGGTACGGGTACGGGTAGGCCGTGAGTCACTGGTGAGTCACCGTTTGTCACTCATTTCGGGTAGGGTACGGGTAGGGAACGGGAACCCGTACCTGGCCGGGTACGGGTACGGGTACCCATTTGCGACCCTGGTGCGGCCGGGTACGGGTAAGGAATCAAAACCCGTTTGCGACCTCTGCCGCTGACAGCACTTGCCCCAACAGTCTGTTAAGGCTGCACGCTTGGGGGGGAATCTTTACCCTCTGTTTGACGGTCCCCCTCCCCATGCCCGCGTGGTGTCCGTGCGTTCGCCGCCCAGGTACCCGTGTCTATGGCCGTGCTGGGAAGCCAGATGCTGCAGCAGCCGCTGCTCTCCTCCCAGCAGCTGGCGGCGCTGCTCCAGCAGCAGCAGCAGGCGCTCCTCCTGCAGCAGGTTGGCGCCGTCGGTCGCACGCGACACGATCACCCCCCACCCCCCCCCACCCGCCCAGCCGTCTTTGTCTCGCCGGTTCACTTGGGCGGCGGACCGACGGTTCGGAATAACTACGGAGTGGCAGCCACGGGGAATGGAGCGCACCGTCAGCGTCGTGGAGATGGCGAACGGTTTGACGGAGAACCTGTTAAGCGCCGCGGTAGGGAGATATTCACGATCTCGCCTGGTACGCAGGAGGTCGCCGGTTCGATCCCAACCCTTGACGCTTGTTCTACATTTGGAGATTGCGGTGTCTTCTCAATCCCCTTGGGGGCGTGGATTTTTCTCCTGGTCCTCCGGTTTTCCCCTCCACATTTAGAATGAACGTGCGTTTAAAGTATTTGCCTGCTATACATTTCCACACGATGAGCCAATTCGTTGAACCATCATCTGTGGCCAGGTCACTTCTGAGAAAGAGCTGCATAGCTTTATCTGGCAAAGTAATTAAAACAAAAATAGTAACTCGTTAACGCGGCCGTCGCACCACCCCCTCGTGGGCATAGGTGCACCGTGCCGGCCTTGGCAGTTGCCCGCCGAGCGGGACTTGCCCCCCAGCAGTGTGTGGGCTACACGGGGGATCTTTGTCTTTGTGCGACAGCAACAGCTGCAGGAGTTCTACAAGCGGCAGCAGGAGCAGCTGTCGGCTCAGATCTCACGCAGCTGGCAGGACGGCAGCCTGTGCGAGGTGGCGGCACCACCAACACGCAGACACGCACGAGGACACGCGCGTACACACACACACACTCATGGGGTACACACACACGCATGGGGTACACACGCGCACACACACGTGAGAACTCGTGGACTTCATCCGACACGCACACAGATATACACGTGCGCGCGTACACACACACAACATCCACCGCTCGCCACTAAGTGGCGGTGACATCACCACAGCGTCTGTGCCAGGCCAGGTGCACTTTGAGGCCACGCGAAGTGTCACAGGCCCGCAGACAGGAGGTCACGGGACAGATCCAGGTGCCGTGGGTTGACCGACTGAGATGACGGGCCGATGCGCACCACCTGTGCCCCCTACTGTGCCAAGTCGCTGCGTTTTCTATGGCCCGGCACACTCCGCTCCTTGTTGAGAGCGTCACTCCTCCGCTGTCGGTTGTTGTTGGAGGAGGGCGGCTTCCTCCAACTGCCCAGTAGCAGCGGCCTTCACGAACCTCTTCCACAGAGGCCGATCTTGACACCGCTTGTACGCAAGCACGTACGCGCACGCACGTGCGTACAGACGCCTACACACGTGTGTCAGAACACACAATAGATCTTACACACGCACGTACACGCACGCACACACGTGCACATAAAGACATAAAGATCCCCCGTATAGCCTTAACAGACCATTGGGGCAAGTGCTATTGGCGAACACCTACGTACGCGCGCACACGTGTGCACACGTACGCACACACACACACACACGTACACACACGTACACTTAACAACAACAACCGCCATTGGCCACTAAGTGGCGGTGACGTCACCACGACGCTTGTGCCAGGCCTGGCACGTACGTACGCACACGTACGTAAGTACGTACGCGCACACGTACGCGCACACGTACGCACATGCACACACGTGTACGCACACGCACACACGTACGCACACACGTGCGCACACACGTACGCACACGCACGAGCACGTCCGTCGGCGTGCGTCGCTCTTTACCGTGGCCGTCCGTCTCCCCGCAGGTGCCGTCCTCGGGGTCGTCGCTCACGCAGCAGCTGCTGCTGCAGCAGCATCTGCTGAGCGTCCAGCGGCAGAGCCAGTCTCAGGGTGAGTTGGGTCGGTGGTCGGGAGGTTTGACGGGTTGGGAGGTCGGGGGCTTTGTGGGAAGCGCGTTTTGCAAGGAATGAGCGGTGGCGCAGCGGTTAGCGTGCCGCGCTTCAAACCCGGCGACTCTTGAGTTCGATTCCCGGTGGCAAATATTTGAACTGGGTCTGGGCCTCCCCTAGGTATACTCGGCCTTAAATAAGTAACCGGTGCGGTGCGTAAAACATCGGCCACTGGGGAGACAAAGGCGGCCGGGCATTGTGGTGGCTACCTACCCCCTCGTGCGCCATGCCTGCACTCATAAGTCAAACTCGCGAACAGCACTTGCCCCAAATAGTCTGTTAAAGGTTCCACACAATTAACAGACTGTAGGGGCAAGTGCTGTTAGCGAGCACCTATGAACGCCGGCACGGCACACGAGGGGGTGGGTGGCCAACACCACGCCCGGCCGCCTTTGTCTCCCCAGTGGCGATGTTTACACACCGCACCGGGTACTCATTTGAGGCTGAGTCAACCTAGGGGAGGCTCACGACCGGTTCAGATAATCGTCACTGGTGTGGGCCGTGAGCGGGAATCGAACTCGGGTCGCAGTGTTCGTAGCGCAGCGAAGCGCTAACCACTACACCACCGCTCCCCCTAAATACAAAGCTCACCCAAATAGTCTTCGGCAGATTGTTGGGCCATTAGCGAGTAGCACCTATGAAGGCCGGCAACAGCACACGATGAGGTGGTGGGTGTCCAGTACCAGGCCCAGCACACACCACCACACCCACCACCGCCACCACACTCCACGACAACCACCACCGCCACCACACTCTACCACAACCGCCACCACACTCCACCACAACCACCACCCCCACAACACTCCACCACAACCACCACCACACTCCACGACAACCACCACCGCCACCACACTCCACCACAACCACCACCACCACTATACTCCACCACAACCACCACCACACTCCACCACAACCACCATCGCGCTAACCGCTACACCACCGGGATTTTATTGTTTTTATTTTTTTATTAATTTTAATTTCATTTTTTACCTACGTGACTTTACCGAAAGAACTAAGAGTATGATACCACCGCTTCCCACACACACACACAGACAGACACACACACACAGACACGCGCTAAAAAACGGGAGCAGAACATTCAGACCACCGCAGCACCCCCCCCCCCACGCACCGTTGTCGTCGTGGCGATGATCGTGAGCCCCCCCCTCCCCCCCCGCTGTGCGCGTTGTTGTTGTTGTTGTTCTCCAGGCGCACTGTCGGGCGGCGAGGTGTGGCGGGAGGGCGGCTGCGATCGGCTCGGCGGCTCTGGCGCCACCGCCGCCGTAGGAGGGGGGGGGGCGCCCCCCCCCACCCACCGCAACGGAGCCGCTGAGCCGTCGCCGGGAGGGAGGCCTTCCGTGGGGGGCCCCGCGCGCGCCCCCCTCTCGCTGACCCCCTCGGTGTGCGGGGGGCAGTCGGCCCCCCTCGCCGCGGCCGGGACGTCGGGCTCCCTCAACGGGCACTCGCCTCCGTGGAAGGGCAGGTGAGCCAGTTTGTGTTGCGTGTGTGTCCTGGGCCTCCCCTAGGTCGACTCGGCCTTAAATTAGTGCCTGGCTGCGGCGGGTAAAAACATCGCCGCTGGCCACCCACCCCCTCGTCTCGTGCGCCGTGCCGGCCTGCATAGGTGCTACTCGCTAACAGCACTTGCCCCAACAGTCTGTTCAGGTTATAAAGGGGATCTCTGTCTGTGTGAGATCAAGTGTGCGAGTTCACGTGCGTGTGATCCAGTACGCAGTGGGGAGCACAGGTGGTGCATTTGTCAGTCATGTCAGCGAGTCAACCCATGACACCTGGGTCTCTTAACTCACTCGCCTGGTATACCGGAGGTTGTGGGTTCGGTCCCGACCCCTTTATATTTGAAATTTTTCTCCAGGTCCTCCGGTTTTTACCTCCACATTTAGAATCAACGTGTGCGTTTCGAGTATTTGGCTGCGATACATTTCTGCATGATGAGCCGCTTGTTTGAGCTATCATTAGTGGCCGGGTCACTTCTGAAGAAGAGCTACATGGCTCAGTGGGCCTTACCTGGTTTAGGCCTCCTGCCAGACTCGGCCGTAAATGGGAACGTATTTCGGCGTGTAAAAACATCAACACTGGGGAGACAAAGGTGGCCGGGCGTGGTGCTGGCCCCACCGTTCCTGGCCTACACAGGCGCCAGCTAACAGCACTTTGCCCCGACAGCGTGCGAGCGACGCTGCACGGGGGACCTTTGTCTTTGTACAATCTCACGACAATCCACTTGCTGGACTGGATTGGTGCCGCCCCCGTGGTCGCCCCGCCCCGTGATCCGCGGATCGAACAAATCGCTCGAGTCGCCGGTGTATGGCAGCGGGAGCAGTTCATGCGAATGCCGTCCTGTCGCAAACGGGTCGCACGTTTGGCCGACTGCGCACGACGAACGAACGAATGTGTAAATCCCGAGGCGATTCGTTTTGTCGGCAGCGGCGGTTGCTGACCCCCGCTGACCCCTGAGCGGCGAGGCTCCGTCTCGATTAACGGGGCGGGCGGGCGGGGGTGGCGGTGGGCGGTGAGTGCGGGGGAGGTAATTTTGCGACGAGCGAGCGACACCGGACGCCGTGTTTACTGCGCGGGGTCCCGCGGCGCGCGTGTCGGGTTTGGCGGTTGCGCTCCGGCCGCTCGCACGCCGATTTGTTTCTTTACGCTTTCCCAATTACGGTTTCAAGCGTTCGCGCAAGAGGCTCCGTCGCGCCCCATTAGTCACTCCGTCGTCCGTCTCCTGTCTGCCCGACTCTCCATCTGTGCCGTCTCCCCAGTTGTCCGCCTCTTGAGCCCGTCCATCCCCCCTCCGTATGTCTCTCCATTTGTCTGCATCTCTGTCTGTCCGTCTCTCCATCCGTCTCTCCTTCTAGCCTGTGTGTCCTGCCCTCCCCCACTCACTTTCCCTAAGAGTTGGAATGATGGTGCCATTCGCCCACCACGTGTTGTGTTCTCTAATCCACGCGTTCTTCTCAGCGTAGTACCAAGCACACGCCTCTCTCCACGCTTCTTTGCGCAATCTGCAGTTTTTGTGCCAAATGCGTGAAAGCACATTTAATTAATTACTTTTAAAGCTTTCTATGGAATTGCCCGAGCATGTTCAAGTGTGGCAGGACCCTACTGAATCCTCAGACTCAGTGGTGGTGTGCATCTGTGTGGGTCTGTGTGGAAATGTAAGTCAGGCCGACTGTTTTGTCTCATCCACGCTGTAGTCAATCGGCACACTGCAGGTCATAACAACAACACACTCACTCACTCACTTAGCCACTCACGCAATACAACCACCCACTCACGCACTCACTCGCCCGCTCACTCACTCACTCACCCACTCTCTCACGCACCTAGGCACTCGTGCAATACACTCACTCACTGGCCCACCCACTCTCACACTCACTCGCCCACTCACTCACTCACCCACTCACTCTCTCACTCACCTAGGCACTCGTGCAATACACTCACACTCACTGGCCCACCCACTCTCACACTCACTCGCCCGCTTACTCACTCGTCCATTCGCTCGCTCGCTCGCCCACCCACTCGCCCGCCCATTCGCTTGTCCACCTACTCACTCTCACACTCGGTCACCCGCTCACCCACTCACTCACTCCCCTAACCACTCACCCACCCAATCACTCACACAACACACCCACCCCCTTTCACACTCACTCACCTACCCGCTCACTCTCACACTCAGTTGCCCGCTTACTCGCTCGCCCGCCCATTCGTTCGTCCACCCACTCGCACCCACTCACTCTCACCTAGCCACTCACCCACCCACTCACTCACAAAATACATCCACCCACGCTGACCCTCACTCGCCCGCCTGTTCGCTCGCCCACCCACCCACTCGCTTGCAATAAATAGGCTCTGCTGCTGGGCAAAAATAGTGTTGGTGGGTTAAAGAGGAACGGGGCGATGGCGTGGGTGGACCGGGGGAGGGGTGGGGTGGGGTGAGCGCGGTGCTGGTAAACAAGCAGCAGCAGCAGCTCGTCAACAACGCGTGGCATCGACACGTGACGGCGTCTACACGCGTGTGCGTGCGCGCGCGCGTGTGTGCGCGCACGTGAGCGACTGGGTAATTTTGTGCGCGTGTGCCGTGTGGGAGTGCGTGTTTGTGGATGCGTGACGGGAGTATATGCTGTGGGTGCGTTTGTGAGGAGGAGCGGCGGTGTAGTGGTTAGCGCCCTGCGCTACAAAAGAGCGGAGACCCGAGTTCGATTCCCGCTCGCGGTCGGCCATCCGTGACGATGACATGAACCCGTCCTGGGCCTCCTCTAGGCCGACGCAGCCTCAAACGAGTACACGGTGCGGTGTGTAAACGTCGTGACTGGGGCTGGCCACCCACCCCCTCGTGTGCCACAGTGCCGCACGTCATAGGTGCTGCTACTCGCTAACGGAACTTGCCCCAACCGCCTCTTCATGCGCCGCGGGGGATCTTTGTGGTGGTGGTGGTGGTGTGATGATGTTTTAATTGTGTGTGTGTATAATGCAGTGAGCGTGTAAGATGTGTGTTTGCGTGGGAGGGGGTGTCTGTGAAAGTGCGTGATGGAGTGTGTGTGCGTGTTTGTTGATGGTGTGCGTGCGTGTGGTGCCTTGTCGGCCTTCATAGGCGACGCTGGCTTACGGCACTTGCCCCATCAGTCTGTAAACGCCTATATGGGGGTCTTGGTCTTTGTCCTTTTGGCGGTGCGTGGGAGTGGGTGTGTGTGGATGTGTGTGATGGGGAGTGGGTGTTATGGGGAGCGGTGGCGCAGCACAAATCCGGCGACCCAAGTTCGATTCCAGCCCACGGCCAACACCGGTGACGATTATTTGAACCGGTCCGGGGGCTCCCCTAGGTCGACTCAGCCTCAAATGAGTACCTGGTGCGGCGTGTAAACATCGCCACTGAGGAGACCGAGGTGACCGGGCGCGGTGCCGTGCCGGCTTTCATAGGTGCTCGCTAACAGCACTTGCCCCAGCGGTCTGTAAAGGCAACATGAGTGATCTTTATATTTGTGTGGGTGTTGATCGACCAGGCCTCAAACGAGTGCGCAGGGACACGTGTCACCATCGGCACTGGGGAGACAAAGGCGGCCGGGCACGGTGGTGGGCACCCACCCCTTCGTGTGACGTGCCGGCCTTCACAGGTGACGATCGCTAACGGCACTTGCCCCCAAACGTTACGTTGAAGGCTATCATCGGGGCGGGGCCCTTTTGCCTTTGCCTTGCAGCCCGCCACCCAGGGAGGGAGGCAAGAGCCACGCGCTCTTCTGCCACGGGATGTGCAAGTGGCCGGGCTGCGAGGGAGTGTTCAAGGAGTTCACACAGTTCCTGCGGTGAGGGAACCTCCGCCACACGTCCACCACACGTCCATCACACGTCCGCCGCTTGTCTACCACACGTCCACCACATGTCTACCACATGTCCACCACACGTCCACCACATGTCTACCACACGTCCACCACATGTCTACCACATGTCCGCCACATGTCCACCACACGTCCGCCACATGTCCACCACACGTCCGTCACATGTCCACCACACGTCCGCCACATGTCCACCACATGTCCACCACATGTCTACCACATGTCCGCCACATGTCTACCACACATCCGCCACATGTCTACCACATGTCTACCACATGTCCGCCACATGTCTACCACATGTCCGCCACATGTCTACCAAACGTCCGCCACATGTCTACCACATGTCTACCACATGTCCGTCACATGTCTACCACACGTCCGCCACATGTCTACCACATGTCCGCCACATGTCTACCACATGTCCGCCACATGTCTACCACACATCCGCCACATGTCTACCACATGTCTACCACATGTCCGCCACATGTCTACCACATGTCTACCACATGTCCGCCACATGTCTACCACATGTCTACCACATGTCCGCCACATGTCTACCACACATCCGCCACATGTCTACCACATGTCTACCACACGTCCGCCACATGTCTACCACATGTCCGCCACATGTCTACCACATGTCCGCCACATGTCTACCACATGTCTACCACATGTCCGCCACATGTCTACCACATGTCTACCACATGTCCGCCACATGTCTACCACATGTCCGTCACATGTCTACCACACGTCCGCCACATGTCTACCACATGTCCGCCACATGTCTACCACATGTCCGCCACATGTCTACCAAACGTCCGTCACATGTCTACCACACGTCCGCCACATGTCTACCACATGTCCGCCACATGTCTACCACATGTCCGTCACATGTCTACCACATGTCCGCCGCATGTCCGCCACGTGTCCGCCACATGTCCGCATCCTTCCTGTAGGTATCACCACTATCATCCAGCAGTGGAGAATAATAATAATAATGATGATGATGAAGATGATGTGTTTTCATTCAGCGCCATTGATCGGAAGATCACAAAGTGCCGAACACGCGACAAACTCGGCGCTCCGTAAAATAGCGGATCGATGTTTATTTGTGCAGGCCCCACAGCGCGGGCAGAGTCGAGTTCGCGTGAGCAGATAGCGCCGAGGGATTGGCCCGGTGCTCCGCTAGCGATCGTGTCGCAATGGACCCCGGCTCATTGATTTTGCCCATAGTGCCGACGGTGCTGCTGATGATGGTGCTGGTGATGATAATGATGGTGCTGATGATGATATGATGGTGCTGGTGATGATAATGATGGTGCTCGTGATGATAATGATGGTGCTGATGGTGATATGATTGTGCTGATGACGATGATGGTGCTGATGATGATGATGCTGATGCCGCTGAGGCTGCTGGTGATGGTGCCGATGATGACGGTGATGGTACCGACGATGACGATGATGGTGCTGACGATGATGACGATGATGGTGCCGATGATGACTGATGGTGGTGACGATGATGACTATGATGGTGCCGATGATGACTGATGGTGGTGACGATGATGACTGATGGTGGTGACGATGATTGTGCCGATGATGACTGTGATGGTGCCGATGATGACTGATGGTGGTGCCGATGATGACTGATGGTGGTGACGATGATGACTGATGGTGGTGACGATGATTGTGCCGATGATGACTGTGATGATGATGGTGCTGACGATGATGCCGCTGGTGCGCGGTGCAGGCACATGAGCACGGAGCACATGCTGGACGACCGCAGTGCCGCACAGTGCCGCGTGCAGATGCAGGTGGTGGACCAACTGGAGATCAAGGTGAGGACATGCGGCACCCGGGGGGGGGGGGCGGGGAAGAGCTACCCCCCGTTACCTGCCAAAAAAAAGCGTCCCATTAATCCGCCAGTAAGGCAGAAGAGCGCGGATAACGGGATTCACGGTGGCGCGGCGGTGAACGTGATGGCTGTGGTAGCGTTAGTGTTTTTTAATTGGTGGTAGCTGTGATGACGACGATGGTGGTACTGGTGGAATTTGATGTGGTAGGGATGGAATTGTTAATGCCGGTGAAGCAGAGAGGATGGTGAGGATTATGAAGATGGTGATGATGCTGATGACGGTAATGGAAGTGATGATGCTGATGGTGGTGGTGATGATGATGACAGTGGCAGCGGCAATGATGGTAATGATGTTGATGCAGTAGAGATTCTGATGATGGTGGGAATGACTGGTGGTGGTGATAATGCTGATGATGGTAATGTCAATGAAAAGGATGATGATGGTGGTGATGATGGTAATTGCAATTATGGCAATGATGCGCTAGAGATGATGATGGTGGTGGTGGTGATGCTGATGATGCTGATGATGATAATGGCAGTGATGGTGATGATACGGTAGAAATGATAGTGGTGATGAGGATAATGCTGATGGTGATTGCAATGTTGGTAATCATGTACAGATGATATTGGGAATGATGGTGGTGGTGGTGATGATGATGATAATGGCAATGTTGGTAATAATGTACAGATGATATTGGGAATGATGGTGGTGGTGGTGATGATGATGATGATGATAATAATGGAAATGTTGGTAATCATGTACAGATGATATTGGGAATGATGGTGGTGGTGGTGATGATGATGATAATGGTAATGTTGGTAATAATGTACAGATGATATTGGGAATGGTGGTGGTGGTGGTGGTGGTGATGACGACAATATTAACGGCAACGATGTTTGATGATGGTGGTGGTGACGACGGCGGTGACGTTGTTGTTGTTGTTGTCGTTGCTCAGCTGCTGAAGGAGCGGGAGAGGCTGCAGGCCATGATGGTTCACCTGCGCGTGGGCCCTCCCGAGCAGAAGCCGCCGCATCACCAGCCGGTGAGCCAACTCTTCCATCGTGACTGGGTGTTGGTGGTGGTGGGGGTGGGGGGGGTTACAGCAGAGGTCGCAATCGGGTACCCGATACCCGTACCCTACCCGATACCCGGCTACCCGTACCCGGCCTGGTACCGTTTGCGACCCTGGTGCGACCGGGTACGGGTACGGGTACGGGTAGACCGTGAGTCACTGGTGGGTCACCGTTTGTCACTCATTTCGGGTAGGGTACGGGTACGGGTCCTGGGCCTCCTGCCCTAGATAGATTCGGCCTCAAATGAGTGCCTGGTACGGCGTGTAAACACCTCCACTCGGGAGACAAAGGTGCTGGGCACACCGACCCCGTCGCGTGCCGTGCCGCCCTTCATAGATGCCCGCTGACCAGAGGTCGCAACCGGGTACCCGATACCCGTACCCTACCCGATACCCGTACCCTACCCGATACCCGGCTACGGGTACGGGTAGCCGTTTACGACCCTGGTGCGGCCGGGTACGGGTAGGCCGTGAGTCACTGGTGAGTAACCGTTTGTCACTCATTTCGGGTAGGGTACGGGTAGGGAACGGCTATCGGGTACCTGGCCGGGTACGGGTAAGGAATCAAAACCCGTTTGCGACCTCTGGGTTACAGACATGATGGCACGGTTCGGCACTTGTCGTTCAGCTCTAAAACAACTCCTGCGCAAGCGGCGTGCGTGTGACGTGTTCCGGACTCGCAGTCTCCACAGTGTCAGTTCATCAGCACAGCTGCACGCACGGTCTGTTACCGATGACTATATATAGATACCCAACGACTCGCGTAGAGACCCGTGTGTCACGCGTGCGTTGCTTGCGTGTGTCGCACGTGTTGCGTGTACGTGTGGCGTGCGTTGTGTGTGTGTGTGTGTGTCGCATGTGTTGCGTGTACGTGTGGCGTGCGTTGTGTGTGTGTGTCGCATGTGTGGCGTGTACGTGTGGCGTGCGTTGTGTGTGTGTGTCGTATGTGTTGCGTGTACGTGTCGGGTGCGTTGTGTGTGTGTGTCGCATGTGTTGCGTGTACGTGTGGCGTGCGTTGTGTGTGTGTGTCGCATGTGTTGCGTGTACGTGTGGCGTGCGTTGTGTGTGTGTGTGTCGCATGTGTTGCGTGTACGTGTGGCGTGCGTTGTGTGTGTGTGTGTTTGTCGTACGTGTCGCGTGCGTTGTGTGTGTGTGTGTCGCATGTGTGTCACCTTGGTCGCATTTGTCGTGTGCGAGCAGCTCAACCTGGTATCCACGGCAGCCGTTTGCCGGGCGACGGAGCCAATGAAGACTCCGACCCCTCCTCCCATCACCACCTCCACCACCACGGCGGTGGCAGCGGCAGCGGCCGCCCTCCTTGCGGCCGCCCCCCCGGCGCTGACCCCTTCGTTGACCCCGGGTTTGACCCCCGCGATGACCTCGCTGGCCCCCGCCACCCTCGCAGCTCCTCTGGCGGCGAGCGCCTACGGGACGCCGCTCTGCGCGGCCGCCACCGTCGCAGCTAAAACCGCGGCGCAGCCTCAACCGCCCCCGGCGCCACCGCAACAACCGCAGCAGCCGCAGCAGCAGCAGCCGCAGCAGCCGCTGGCATCAGCGCTGCCAGCGCTACTGGCGCAGGCGGGCGCGGCATCTTGCCCCGCGGTGCCGCCCCCGGCGACCGTTGTCGCGGCGATGCCTGGGTGCGTCGTCACGCCGACGGCAGGGGGAGGTTCGGCGAGAAGGAAGGTGGAGAGGGCGGCCAGCCCCCTGCTGCTCGGTGAGGACACGTTCGCTCGCTCGTTCTCTCCGTCGGAATGAATTCGATCGCGCTCGTCAGATTCCTCCTTCCCCCGTCTAAATAACGGCTCTCATCCCGTGAACCCCGTGACCACGGACGTGACGCCTCGATTCCCCGTGTCTCCTCCGTGGTCCCGCAGACGTGTCCAAGAGCCACGACTTCTACCAGAGCACGGACGTGCGGCCGCCGTACACTTACGCGTCGCTCATCAGACAGGTGCGTGCACGCGTGGCGACGGTAACGGGGAGCGGAAGTGTCGCGGTGCGGCGGGCTGTGAACCCTACGAACCCGGCGACCTGAGTTCGATTCCCGCTCACGGCCACCAACACCCAGTGACGATTGTCTGAACCGGTCCCGGGCCTCCGCTAGGTCGACTCGGTCTCAAATGAGTAGCTGGTGCGGTGTGTGAACATCGCCACTGGGGAGACAAAGGCGACCGGGCGTGGTGCTGGCCACCTACCCCCTCGTGTGCCGTACCGGCCTTCATAGGTGCTCGCTAACAGCACTTGCTCCAACAGTCTGTTAAAGGCTACGCGGGGGATCTTTGTAAAAAAAATTGGTGATAATAATGCAGTCCGCTCTATAACGTGGTAGTTGCGTTTCTGAAGAACACCGCGTTTTGGAAGAATCGCGTTGTAATGAATAATATGGGGTCAAGCACAACACATGAGATGCGTGCGCAGGCTGAGCAAAGACCCGCTTATTACGCCTCACTCGACGTAGTTCCGCTCGCTCGCTCGATGGCGTGATAGCCCACTCGTGTTATCGGTGTTGATGGCCGTGTTGGTGACGGTGTTGATGGTGGTGGTGGTGTTGGTGGTGGTGTTGGTGACGGTGTTGATGGTGGTGTTGGTGACGGTGTTGGTGACGGTGTTGGTGACGGTGTTGATGGCCTTGTTGGTAACGGTGTTGATGGCCTTGTTGGTAACGGTGTTGATGGCGGTGTTGGTGACGGTGTTGATGGTGGTGGTGTTGATGGTGGTGTTGATGGCGGTGTTGGTGACGGTGTTGGTGACGGTGTTGATGGCGGTGTTGGTGACGGTGTTGATGGCGGTGTTGGTGGCGGTGTTGGTGACGGTGTTGATGGCGGTGTTGGTGACGGTGTTGGTGACGGTGTTGATGGCCGTGTTGGTGATGGCGGTGTTGATGGCGGTGTTGGTGACGGTGTTGATGGCGGTGTTGGTGACGGTGTTGGTAACGGTGTTGGTGACGATGTTGATGGCCGTGTTGGTGACGGTGTTGGTGGCGGTGTTGGTGTTGATGGTGGTGTTGATGGCGGTGTTGGTGACGGTGTTGATGGCGGTGTTGGTGACGGTGTTGATGGCGGTGTTGGTGACGGTGTTGGTGGCGGTGTTGGTGTTGATGGTGGTGTTGATGGCGGTGTTGGTGATGGTGTTGGTGACGGTGTTGATGGCTGTGTTGGTGACGGCGGCGGACCCTCAGGCCATCGTGGAGGCCCCGGACAAGCAGCTGACTCTGAACGAGATCTACACGTGGTTCACTCAGAGCTTCGCCTACTTCAGGAAGAACGCCGCCACGTGGAAGGTCAGAGGCTTCTCTCAAACCCGGCACCAATAATCCAATAACCATCGGCCCCTAACCATCGACCCCTAATCATCGACCCTTAACTATGGGCCCCTAACCATCGACCCCTAACCACTGACCCCTAACCATCGACCCCGAACCACTGACCCCCTAATCATTGACCCCTAACCATCGGCCCCTAACCACTGACCCCCTAACCATTGACTCCTAACCATTGACCCCTAACCATTGACCCCTAACCATTGACCCCTAATCATTGACCCCTAACCATTGACCACTAACCACTGACCCCCAACCATTGACCCCTAACCACTGACCCCTAACCATCAGCCCCTAACCATCGGCCCCTAACCAGTGACCCCTAACCATTGACCCCTAACCACTGACCCCTAACCATTGACCCCTAACCCTTGACCCCTAACCATTGACCCCTAACCATCGGCCCCTAACCATCGACCCCTAAACATTGACCCCTAACTGTAATTCCAAACCCCTGTCCGTAATCTAAAACTCTGAACCATGAACCCCCCCCAACCATAAACCGGAAACCTTGAACCACAATCCCCTAACCATAAACCCAAGCGGTGAACCAGAAAGCCCTAAGCATGAACCCTGAGCACTGAACCCGCCAGTGCAGCTGTGAGCTTGAGAAACCACGCCACCACGTGGACGGTGGTGAGGGGGCACCAAGCCTGAGCATCGACGACTTCGACGCGACAGCCTCACCCTGACTCATTGACCCTACCCCTCACCCCTCACCCTGACTCACCCCTACCTCTACCCCTGACTCTACCCCTACCTCTACCCCTCACCCTGACTCATTGACCCTACCCCTCACCCTGACCCTACCCCTCACCCTGACTCATTGACTCTACCCCTCACCCTGACTCAATGACTCTGCCCCTCACCCTGACTCAATGACTCTACCCCTCACCCTGACTCAATGACTCTGCCCCTCACCCTGACTCAATGACTCTACCCCTCACCCTGACTCAATGACTCTACCCCTCACCCTGACTCAATGACTCTACCCCTCACCCTGACTCAATGACTCTACCCCTCACCCTGACTCAATGACTCTACCCCTCACCCTGACTCAATGACTCTGCCCCTCACCCTGACTCAATGACTCTACCCCTCTCCCTGACTCTACCCCTCACCCTGACTCAATGACTCTGCCCCTCACCCTGACTCAATGACTCTACCCCTCACCCTGACTCAATGACTCTACCGCTCACCCTGACTCTACCCCTCACCCTGACTCAATGACTCAGCCCCTCAACCTGACTCAATGACTCTACCCCTCACCCTGACTCAATGACTCTACCCCTCACCCTGACTCAATGACTCTGCCCCTCACCCTGACTCAATGACTCTACCGCTCACCCTGACTCAATGACTCTGCCCCTCTCCCTGACTCTACCCCTCACCCTGACTCAATGACTCTGCCGCTCACCCTGACTCAATGACTCTACCCCTCACCCTGACTCAATGACTCTACCCCTCACCCTGACTCAATGACTCTACCGCTCACCCTGACTCAATGACTCTACCCCTCACCCTGACTCAATGACTCTACCGCTTACCCTGACTCAATGACTCTGCCCCTCTCCCTGACTCTACCCCTCACCCTGACTCAATGACTCTGCCCCTCTCCCTGACTCTACCCCTCACCCTGACTCAATGACTCTACCCCTCACCCTGACTCAATGACTCTGCCCCTCACCCTGACTCAATGACTCTGCCCCTCTCCCTGACTCTACCCCTCTCCCTGACTCAATGACTCTACCCCTCACCCTGACTCTACCCCTCTCCCTGACTCAATGACTCTACCCCTCACCCTGACTCTACCCCTCACCCTGACTCAATGACTCTACCCCTCACCCTGACTCAATGACTCTGCCCCTCACCCTGACTCAATGACTCTACCGCTCACCCTGACTCAATGACTCTGCCCCTCTCCCTGACTCTACCCCTCACCCTGACTCAATGACTCTGCCCCTCTCCCTGACTCTACCCCTCACCCTGACTCAATGACTCTACCCCTCACCCTGACTCAATGACTCTACCCCTCACCCTGACTCAATGACTCTGCCCCTCTCCCTGACTCTACCCCTCTCCCTGACTCAATGACTCTACCCCTCACCCTGACTCTACCCCTCTCCCTGACTCAATGACTCTGCCCCTCACCCTGACTCTACCCCTCACCCTGACTCAATGACTCTGCCCCTCACCCTGACTCAATGACTCTACCCCTCACCCTGACTCAATGACTCTACCCCTCACCCTGACTCAATGACTCTGCCCCTCACCCTGACTCAATGACTCTGCCCCTCTCCCTGACTCTACCCCTCACCCTGACTCAATGACTCTGCCCCTCACCCTGACTCAATGACTCTGCCCCTCACCCTGACTCAATGACTCTGCCCCTCTCCCTGACTCTACCCCTCACCCTGACTCAATGACTCTACCCCTCACCCTGACTCAATGACTCTGCCCCTCACCCTGACTCAATGACTCTGCCCCTCACCCTGACTCAATGACTCTGCCCCTCACCCTGACTCTACCCCTCACCCTGACTCAATGACTCTGCCCCTCACCCTGACTCAATGACTCTACCCCTCACCCTGACTCAATGACTCTACCCCTCACCCTGACTCAATGACTCTGCCCCTCACCCTGACTCAATGACTCTGCCCCTCTCCCTGACTCTACCCCTCACCCTGACTCAATGACTCTGCCCCTCACCCTGACTCAATGACTCTGCCCCTCACCCTGACTCTACCCCTCACCCTGACTCAATGACTCTACCCCTCACCCTGACTCAATGACTCTGCCCCTCACCCTGACTCAATGACTTTGCCCCTCTCCCTGACTCTACCCCTCTCCCTGACTCAATGACTCTACCCCTCACCCTGACTCAATGACTCTACTCAGACCCCTACTCCTGACTCTACCCCTCACCCTGACCCTACCCCTAACCCTGACCCTACCTCTAACCCTGACCCTAACCCTGACCCTGACCCTACCCCTCACCCTGACCCTACCCCTAACGAACCCTGACCCTACCACTAACCATGACCCTGACCCTACCCCTCACCCTAACCCTACCTCTAAACGGGACCCTGACCCTACCACTAACCCTTCCGTTGAACCCCGATGCCTAAGCTGTGCGTGCTCGCGCGTGTGTTGTCCCAGAATGCCGTGCGGCACAACCTGAGCCTGCACAAGTGCTTTGTGCGCGTGGAGAACGTGAAGGGCGCCGTGTGGACGGTGGACGAGGGCGAGTTCCAGAAGCGGCGTCCACCCAAGCTCGCCGGGTGACTCCCGCGGCTCGCAAACAACTAGCGCAGCGATCCCCTCCACCCCCCCCTCACTCCGTGTAGCCTTCAACAGACTGTGGGGGGCAGGTTGCGAGTGGCGTCGCCTGTGAAGGAGACCGGCGCTGCGGCACACGAAGGGTGGATGGCCAACGCTGCCACGCCCGCCCCCCCCCGGTGGCGATGGTTACTACACACTGCACCGGGTTACTCATTTCGGGATGAGTCGACCTAGGGGAGGCCCAGGACCGTTTCAGATAATCGCCACTGGGTGTTGGTGGCCGTGAGCGGGAATCAAACTCGTGCCGCCGGGTTCGTAGCGCAGCGTAGCGCTCACCGCTACAACACCGCTGCCCGCATAGTTACACACACAAAGTTGAAGCTCCCCCGTGTAGCCTGTAACAGACTGTTGGGGCAAGTGCTGTTAGCGAGCACCTATGAAGGCCGGCACGGCACTCGAGGGGGATGGGTGGCCAGCACCACGCCCGGCCGCCTTTGTCTCCCTAGCGGCGATGTTTAGCTACACACCGCACCAGGTACTCATTTGAGGCTGAGTCGACCGCACGTAGGCATGCTCGCACGCGCACTCTCACACATGAGAACGGAACGGTTGCCACGGACAACATGCACTGAGCCCATCGCTACGCGCTGCGATCGATGGGGCGACCACAAGCCGGACTCGAACCCAGAACCCCCAGCGGTGCACACTCGGCATCCCCGACACGGCCATTACGAGCCTCGCATACACCCCCCCGTTGTTGTTGACACCCCCCCGTTGTTGACACCCCCCCGTTGTTGACACCTCCAGTTGTTGACACCTCGTCTCTTCGCCACCTTGTTTCTTCCGTCAGGAGCGTGGTGATGAAGAGCTCAAAGTCGGGCCATCATTACAGCGCCGATTACAACGGCATGTCGGTGAGTGTCCATCGCAGCCTCGCGCGATCAATCCGCCCGGTCCACAGATATTGTTTATCCACTGCTGGATGAAGGCCTCCATCACATCATGCCAGACGTATTTTGAAGGGGTTGTTGTTTGACCATACTTCACCACGCTGGTCGAGTGTTGGTTGCTAGACGCCGACCCCAGAGTCACCGTGCCCGCCGCCTGTTCCCCCTACAGTCGTACGGAGTGATGGACATTGGTGACCAGCTGCTGACCGGCATGGGAGGCTCTCTGGCGGGACACCACGTCTACGAGGGTATGACCTTCCCTTCCCAAATTATTTTATCATGATTTTACTTCGCCAGCAGAGCGCGTCAATGAGTCCCATGACTTTCTTTTCAGGGGGGTCCTGCCACCGCTGCTGCTGCTGCTGCCACGTTGGGATTTTACTTCAAGACGTGTTTCAGCCAATTAGTGATGGGTCGTGTGTTTATAATTATTCACGTGGGGAGGAAACCCACGCCTTGTGCGATGGTGCAACGCTCTATCCCCGTACAGACGGAAACAGATGGCGAGGAGTCCACACTCGCTGTATCGCCTTTTGGCCACCCGGGGTTACTACTGCACCTCCTCGACACCCACGCACGGGTCGTAGGGAGTTCCACAACAACATCTGTGTGTTCCACGTGCAGTAGCAGCAGCAGCAGCAGCATCAGCGTAGCCACCACCACCACTGCGGTGATAATGACTTAAATTTCGATTTAAAGCTTTCGTGACTGCAGGGATTCATCTTCTTGGTTCTTTCGGTAAAGTCACGTAGAAGGGAAGTAATGAAATAATAAAAATAAAACATGATAAAGTAATTCTCACGACGTTTCGGCCACAACGCAAGCAGCCATCCTCAGGTGAAGAATGAAACCCCACCAAGCTTGGAGCGTATATTCTTTTGTCAAGGCGCTCTTCTTCCACCCCTCCAACCCAGCTTAAATATACGCTCCAAGCTTGGTGGTGTTTCATTCTTCACCTGAGGACGGCTGCTTGCGTTGTGGCCGAAACGTCGTGAGAATTACTTTAATTATGCTTTATTTTTATTATTTTATTACTTCCCTTCTACGTGACTTTACCGAAAGAACCAAGAAGATAATGACTTAATAAATCCATGGTGCCTATGTTGGTCTGTGGGCCCTGTGTATAGGGGATGGGTCTACGCACAGGGCACATGGGGGTGCCGTTCGCCGCCAATTCATTATCACGGTCGAGTGGGTATCACCCCCCACGCACACGTGTGTTACCACACACGCCACCACGCACACGTGTCACCACGCACACATGTCGCCACGCACATGTCAATGTGTAAACATCGCCACTAAGGCGTGGTGCTGGCCACCCACATCCTCGTGTGCCGTGCCGGCCTTCGTGGGTGCCGCTACGCTAACAGCACTTGTCCCACAAGTCTGTCAAGGCTACAGGGGGGACCTTTGTCTTTGTGCGCAGGCGAGGGAGACGCGTACTCGATGGGCGACGCTCACACCAGCCCCAACCGCTCACCCCACGACTACGACACCGACTCGTCCCCCGACGGACGACTCTGCGAGCCCTTCCCGGACATGCCCATGCGCCGGCAGAATCACCATCATCATCAGCATCATCAGCAACAGCAGCAGCAGCATCATCATCATCAGCAGCGACAGTACCTGCAGAGTTTCCAGCGCCGGCACGGAGATGCGAGCGGGAGCTGGGAGAGGCACGGCGAGCAGGCGGTCGCGCAGCACCTCGCGTAAGCGACGCCCCGCGGGAAGCGGACGCCCCGGAACTGCTGCCGAGATTCAATCGGGTGGCCTGTGGGTAGCGTAGGCAACCGATTCGCACGGTTGGCTACGTACGGTGTGAAAGAAGTTTAACATAACACACGTAGCGGGGCGGCGCTTTCGCACCGTGTCCTGCTTTGGAGATGTCACGATGTCGCCGGCGGTGTCATCTCGCACGAGTAGAATTGCTGCTTGTGTTGTTGCTGTTGATTTCTTCCGACCAACTTGATGCCGCTTGTTACTGTTATCGGCGTCGCGTCGTCACGAGATGAAGAGCCCCTGCCGGGGAGGGGGGGAGCAGTCACAGAGCGGTGCAATCTCCGTGTTATAAAAACTAAACTACAGTGGAGCCACGGTATACGACCGCTTTGGAATAAGTCGAATTTGGTCTACGTCGTGTTTTTTCGAGAAAAAAATGTCTTGGGATACGACGCGTTTGCTAGAACTTGTGTGGGTCGGGATGAGTCACCGCGTGCAGTACCCGCGTATGCCCCGTTCACGACTGAAACAAAGCGAGACGGGAGGGGTGGCGTGGGGGAGAGGGGAGGGGGACGGGGGGCGGGGTGGCGTGGGGGGGAGGGGCGGGGGGCGTGGGGGGGCTGCCCCCATGGAGGGTGGAGCCCCGGGTCGAGGGTTGAGGCACACCACGTGACCAGCGCAGCTGGCAGCAGCGAGGTCACGTGGCTTCTGTATGCATCTTAGTAATTAGTGTCTAAATTAGTTTATACAACCCCATTAGTGTATAATATGCCGTATAAAATATCATTTATTTTCCTCTGGAACGGATTATTTCCTTTCCCTTTAATTCTTATGGGAAACATTCGTTTGGTCTACGTCATTTTCGGTATAAGTCCTACGTTCTGGAACGAATTAACGACGTGTACCGAGGTACCACTGTATCTTCATGTTACCAGGTAAGGCCCACTGAGCTATAACAGCTCTTTTTCCGAAGCGATTTGGCCACAAGTGATAGATCAGCGAAGTGGCTGATTGCGTGCAAATTCATAGCAGCCAATTTCTCTGAGCGCATGCTGATTCTGAACGTGGAGGGAAAAACCAGAGGCCCCGGAGAAAAATCCACACCGCCACGATGAAAACATGCAAACTCCAAATATACAGCAGGTATCGGAGAACTACCATTGAGGTCCCTTCGAGTGACCGCTTGTCCACGCACGGTAGAGGGCAGCACTTCCTACTCTCGCCCTGCCACCCAGGTGGGCTTTTCGCTGCGTGACGGTCCAACCGATGTTTTTAATCGCCGGAATTTTTGCTCTAATGGCATTAAACTCTGTTGAATCACACAGGCGGTGGTCGGGATGAGAGCTCGGGATCTTAGCGGTGCTGGATCAGCGTCTCTGACCTCTGAACCACCTCCCGGCCACTTGCCTGGTTGAATTTTTTTTTAAACGTCGAATGTAGGTGTGGAGTGATGGAGCTGGTCTAAAACTAAGCGATTAACATTTATTTCAACAACAAGGCAACTCCTATGACTAATTGGGAATGGGACGCAAGCGTAGGATTGATCACCCTGTCGCTGGCCGCCTTTGGGGAGGGTGTATAGTGTATAGTGTGAAAGGCCGAAACACCCTGGGAACCAAAGGTACACTACTGACGATGCGCTCCCCAAATTTCACCAGGCTCAAGTTCATGAACTCTTGGAAGTGCTTGCACAAAGGATAGTAACATCTCATCCTGTGTTCTTGGAATCATAAACATGCGAGGCCCACTGAGCTGTACAGATATTTTTCAGAAGCGACCTGACCACAAATGATCGCTCCACGAAGTGGCTAATCACCATCACGTGGGCATTTATAGCAGCCATGGTGATCCTAAATGGGGAGGGGGAAAAGCGGAGCACCATTTGAACAGTGCACGTGCGCCCCATGGGGAGAGAGACGTGCAAACTCCAAATGTACAGGCGTCGGGGTCTGCATCGAACTCATGGCCTCCTGCGTGCCGGGCGAGGCAGTGAACATCTCGCCGCCGTGGTCACTGCGGATGAGGTGAAGGAGGGGGAGAGAGAGACCCAGCCCAGAACCGGTTCGAATGTCACTCGCCGCTGGTGTTAGCTCTGGCCGAGAATTGAAATGTATGATAATTGTTTTTTTACCCTTTTATCTGGCAACAAAACTGACACCTTTTTTACAAGGAGTCATGTTTGCATAGAACACAATACCTGCAGCCATAATGCAAACAAAAGTATAACTCTGATAATATATGCACTGTCCTTGAAGTTGATTGGTGAGGTTCCAATGGTGTAAATGCTTACCCCGAGCTCTCATACTCTGATGGTGCATTGTCTTTGAGTTGTGCGCCTTTTGGCGTCATCTGGTCCAACACCATGTGAGACTAGGCTCTAAGGAAAGCTGTCTCGGGTGTGGACCAATCAACTTCAAGGACAGTGCACATTATCAGAGTTATGTTTTTTGTTTGCATTATGACTGCAGGTATTGTGGTCTATGCAAACATGACTCCTTGTAAAAAAGGTGTCAGTTTTGTTGCCAGATAGAAGGGTAAAAAAACCAATTATCATATTTTTTACTGGCAAACGAGGTTCCAATGGCGAATTGAAATGTAGTTGCCGGGTTCATAGCACCAGCGCGCTAACCACTGTGCCACTGCTCCAGTAATAATGAGTAAGACCTTCTGCTTTTATACTTCCATGGGCTTGTTTGCCCGTCCTAGGACGGAAGCTGGTAATATTGATGAAAGAATTGAGCATAGAAACACATTGTCCTGCGGAGGGAGCTGGTAGGAACGTTGGGTTGCTCGGTCAATGGCCAGGGTCAACGGCGGCGTGGTGTATTCCGCAAATATGCCCGACTGTGAGGGCGGGCACAAGCCGGCGTGAGTAGGTTAAACGTTGAGTTTTATAAGGGCACCACGGGGTGACCAGCCCCTCCCCACCCAGCTCCACCCCTCCCACCCCCCACCCACCCCCACCCTCCCCACCCAGCCCCTCCCCACCCCTCCCACCCCCCACCCAGCCCCACCCTCCCCACCCTCCCCTCCCCACCCAGCCCCTCCCTGCACGACGGATGGACACAATAATCCCCTGTGGGCTGGTGTAACCAGGAGGTTCCTACCAGTATAATTGTATCTTGTGTAAATTTTATGCCAGTGAATCTTGCACAAAAGTATGTCATCAAACACTTCACTGCATTTCACTGTAGCTCTGTATTAATGGCAGTGATTCTTGCGCAAAATTACGTCATAAAAACCTCACTTCATGTCGCTTGCACTCTATATAACTGACCTTCAATTTGTTCAAATTCACTGCTCTGATACTAGATTCTCTTCTGCTTTCGGTCGCTGGGATTGAAATAAATTTGGAATTCGATACAATATCTGGAAAATCACCGATTAATGTCTATTTTACCATAATGTAGAAGCATACATTAGACCTACCTTTTGTCTCAAGTGCTGAAGGAATAAATAAAGACACCCAATCCACTTTGTTGCTGCGTATAATTATTTATTAGATTCACTTTCAATAAAGAAACGTGAAACTTAAAGCGAATTTTGCGAAAAAAATTATATTTCTGCTCGGCCTGCGTGACTAAAAATCCACCCGCTCATGAATATTAATGACGGGGGGTGCGGCATGTGGAGTGACGTCACACGCGTTACACAAAAACACACATTCTTGGCTCAGTAGTGATTCTGTAATTCTGTTAAAAATGTTGCCATTGGCTTTGTCCGTCTGTCCATCCGTTGGCTCTCTCCGTCTTTCCGTCCTTCCGTCCACCCTCTAGCAGGGAGGGGGGGGTCAACGATTGCCCTCGCAAAGATGGGTCCGATGTGAACTACACTTCATGGTGAAGTTGCGCCGCTATTGGGAATTTCCCCCCCCCCCCACCCCGTGGAAAAATCCGGCCACGATTGACCGATCGAAGGCGCTGCCCGAAAACTCCGATAACGAAACGACAAAAAAGACCGGCGCCGAGAGTGTTGTGGTGTTGTGGTCTTCGCCGGGACGGCCGTTGCGTCCGTGATTCTTTGGGGTCTTTCGGTAAAGTCCCGTAGGTCGGCTCAAAAGAAAATAACAAAAAGTGACGACGCTTCGATCGCAACGCTAGCGCTCGTCGTTGGGAAGAGCGCTTGCGTCGCGATCGAAACGTCGTAGCTTTTCGCTTTTTTTTGGTTATTTTCTTTGAACTTTTCGACGTGACTTTACCGAAAGACCCAAACAATGTGAATTCCTGCAGTCACGAAAGCTTCAAGGCGAGATTGAAGCAGTGCTGTTCTGCATTCTTTATTCATCTGGCATCAGTTAATGCACCAACACCACCACCGAGACGCGGCCGTTGCCGAGGACCGACGCTTGTCCGGGAGGCGTTGCGGGGAGATCCACGGCGCCTGCATCGGGGCGCTTCTTCCGCTTGACAACATTTTATTTATTTATATTTTTGGCTTTTTCTCCAGGCACTCGGCGCGGGTGAAAGAGGAACCCCACGATGACGATGACGACGACGGCGGCGGCGGCGGCAACGGCGTGGATGGGGCCCCTCCGCCGGTCGCCATGGCGACGGAGGCAGCGGGAAGATGCGGTGGCGGCGGCCACGAGATGATGATGGAGCAGGAGGAGGAGGAGGGGAGGAGGAGGGGAGGAGGGGGAGGAGACGAAGGCCTTGACCTTCACGGAAGAGGGGTTTTACGTTGGCGGTGGCGGCGGCGAGGAGTTTGCGCCCTCGATCACGGCACATGGAGCGTCGCCCGTGTCACACTGACGCGTCGGCGCCACCAACTGCCGCCCCCCCCCCCCTCCGCCACCCCCACGTGGTTTGTGGGGGGGCAGTGAGAGGGGGGGGGGGCAACAACGTGCCGTGAAAAACACCCCCCCCCCCTCCCGACGAAGACGACATTAATGGCGCGCCCCGAAACGGGACGCACGGACCTGATCGCAATCCTCAATCCTCGGCGTAACGATTTGTTATTCCGCTCCGTTTTTTTTTTATAAATGCTGATATTTTTCAAATTGTTAACCGTCAGTCACACACCCCCCATTGCGTGAAATGGAATGTTCCAAAGTGTTCGTGCTGCTGTGTGACACTTGGACCCCCCCCTCCTCCTCCCACCCCCCCCCCCCCCCCCATTTGTGAAATGACAATGGAATGACCCAAGGCTGAAGAGTGGTGGCCGGAGCGGTCTATTTTGTGCTGCGGGGGTGAAGTGCTATTGCGCAGGAGTTTAATACAGCCCCGTTTGGGAGAGGCATCTGTAGATGCCATTATGTGCCATGTTTGTTCGGAACTTTGAACCACGACTCGCTCTCTCTCTCGCACGCTTGCAAAAGACAAAGGTCCCCCGTATAGCCTTGGCAGCCAGTTGGGCCAAGTGCTGTTCGCAAGTAGCCTCTGCGAAGGCCGGCACGGCACACGACGGGGTGGGTTTCCAACACTACGCCCGGCCGCTGATATTTACACGCGGTACCGGTTTCTCGTTTAAGACTGAGTCGACCTAGGGGACACACAGGACGGACCAGTTCGCATATTTGCCACTTATTGGTCACGAGCGGGAATCGAACTCGGGTGGACGGGTTCGTATCGCAGCCCGCTAACGACACTACCGCTCGACACACACACTTGGACACACACACACTTGGACACACACACACACTTGGACACACACACACACTTGGACACACACACACACACACTTGGACACACACACACGTGGACACACACACACACTTGGACACACACACACACACACGTGGACACACACACTTGGACACACACACACGTGGACACACACACACACTTGGACACACACACACTTGGACACACACACACACTTGGACACACACACACACTTGGACACACACACACTTGGACACACACACACACTTGGACACACACACACACTTGGATACACACACACACTTGGATACACACACACACACACACACTTGGACACACACACACACACTTGGACACACACACACGTGGACACACACACACACTTGGACACACACACACACACACTTGGACACACACACACACACTTGGACACACACACACGTGGACACACACACACACTTGGACACACACACACACTTGGCCACACACACACACACACTTGGACACACACACACGTGGACACACACACACACACTTGGACACACACACACACTTGGATACACAAACACACTTGGATACACACACACACACACACTTGGACACACACACACGTGGACACACACACACGTGGACACACACACACTTGGACACACACACACTTGGACACACACTTGGACACACACACACACTTGGACACACACACACACACGTGGACACACACACACGTGGACACACACACACTTGGACACACACACACACTTGGACACACACTTGGACACACACACACTTGGACACACACACGTGGACACACACACACACTTGGACACACACACACACACACGTGGACACACACACACTTGGACACACACACACGTGGACACACACACACACTTGGACACACACACACACACTTGGACACACACACACACTTGGACACACACACACACACTTGGACACACACACACGTGGACACACACACACACTTGGACACACACACACTTGGACACACACACACACTTGGACACACACACACACTTGGACACACACACACACACACTTGGACACACACACACACTTGGATACACACACACTTGGATACACACACACACACACACTTGGACACACACACACTTGGACACACACACACACACACTTGGACACACACACACACACTTGGACACACACACACGTGGACACACACACACACTTGGACACACACACACACTTGGACACACACACACACACACTTGGACACACACACACGTGGACACACACACACACACTTGGACACACACACACACTTGGATACACACACACACTTGGATACACACACACACACTTGGACACACACACACACACACGTGGACACACACACACTTGGACACACACACACACACTTGGACACACACACACACTTGGACACACACACACACTTGGACACACACACACACTTGGACACACACACACACACTTGGACACACACACACACGTGGACACACACACACACTTGGACACACACACACACTTGGACACACACACACACTTGGACACACACACACACTTGGACACACACACACACTTGGACACACACACACTTGGACACACACACACTTGGACACACACACACTTGGACACACACACACACACACTTGGACACACACACACACTTGGACACACACACACTTGGACATACACACACACACTTGGACACACACACACACTTGGATACACACACACACACACTTGGACACACACACACTTGGACACACACACACACACTTGGACACACACACTTGGACATACACACACACTTGGACACACACACTTGGACATACACACACACTTGGACACACACACGTGGTTCCTCACGCATACATGCCGTACATACTTGCGCGCACACTCGCACACAAACACACACTCCCTCGTTCACACTCTCACACAGCAGGTGATGTTGACGACCACCTCTATAGCGTTGACAGGCGCACACACTCAAGACGCACGCAAATGACAAAGATCCCCCGTGTAGCCTTTAACGGACTGTTGGGGCAAGTGCTGTTGGCGAGCGCCTCTGAAGCCCGTCACGGCGCACGAGGGGGAGGGGGTGAGTGGCCAGTGCCACGCCCGGCCACTTGTGTCCACCTAGTGGCACACAAACATCCAGGGTACAAATCTCTGCTGGGCCGCGCTGCGACAGCCACACCGAGTCACCGTGACCCCTGAGTTTGTGTGTGTTCGTAACCACGCCGACACCTTCCCAGCCTCCCGCAATCTCCGTGGCGTTGCCAGCACGCACCAGAGGTCGCAACCGGGTACCCGATACCCGTACCCTACCCGATACCCGGCTACCCGGGCCGGGTACGGGTACCCGTTTGCGACCCTGGTGCGGCCGGGTACGGGTAAGGAATCAAAACCCGTTTGTGACCTCTGGCTCGCACGCAGGCGGCGGTGGTGGCGGTAGTGGTGGTGGTGGTGGGGGGGGAATTGGACCGGGTGCCGCAGTTAAATGTCACCGCGCTACGTTCACCCTCCCCGTTCCGCCGACGGTCGTCATCTCTGATTATAATCATTGGATCGTCGATGATTGCTCTTGCCCCTTCGCTCCCCGCGTCGACCCCGTGGCCTTGACACGAACCTTGCAGACAATCTGGCGTTCCCCCCCCCCCCCGGTCGCGCCGTAGCGTGTAAAATAGTCGTGCGTTAAGCGAAGAGTCGTGATTGGTCGATGTACATTACGCTTTATTTTTTAAACGTATTGTAAACGGGGCTTCGTTTTAATCCGGCACAACCACATCCACCAATACCTCTCGCAACGGGTGACCCGGGTTCACGTTCTACCAGCGATCCGGTGAATATTGCCGTGCCCGACGCACCGTATCCAGTCATACCTCTCGCTGCGTCTGCGGCTGCTAAGTCAGAATGATTTAGCCTCGCTGGTGATAATCCTAATGGGGGGTGGGGGTGGGGGGGGAGTTTGTAAGATGTGTGTAACGTGAACTGTGTCATGGGAAATGTGGCCCGTTCTGGCCAGTCGGTGAGAGAATGAACGGAACTTTATTTGACCAGGTAAGGCACACGGAGCTCTATGCAGCTCATTTTCACAAGCGACCTGGCCACGAATGATAGCTCAACGACAAGTGGCTTATCGCGTAGAAATTTAGAGCAGCCGCATACTCCAAAGGCGCGTTGGTAGATGTGGAGGACCAGGAGACAAAATGCACTCGACCAAATATTACAGCAGGTGTCGGGATCGGCACCGAACCCCCCCCACGACCTTTATAGCGGACGAGGCAATTCACATCTCGTCGCCCGCGGTGCCTCGTGAGCGTCGCTTGCTCATCGCCTCAAGTCGAGCGGACGGAACTCCGTAGCGCTTCCTCGCGGACGGACGACGACGACAACAATCGCGGAGACGGCAGTTTGGGCTGCACGCGGCGATGAGGGTTCGCGCTTTCAGCCGACCTCGTGTGACCCCTGCACCCACCAGAGGCACGAGATCGACCAAAATTTCTAACAACAACAGCAATTGTCAAAAACGGATGATGAAAAAAAAAACGGGGTCCCGTAGAGCTAAACTAAATCCAGCATTGATTATTGATTGAATTGATTGGGGACCCCGAATTTGTGTCAAATCGTTCCTGAAACTTTGTGGGCAGTGAGCCGTCAGGTGTCGTGCGCGGTGATGATGATGGTGATGGTGGTGATGGTGGTGATGGTGGTGATGTGATGGTGATGTCGATTAGCCACCCAGGGAGAGCCTACCAGAGGCTCTGTTTCAGGGAAGAGGGGTCCTGGTCCATTGGAGATGTTTGGCCCGTTATTGTGTTCAAGAATATATATCTAATTATATAACTATAAAAGAGTGTACTTTGCTCTCCGATTGTGTTGTTGGGTTTGTTCCGTGTGCTGTTCGGGACGGCGTCCCTACGTTTCTTCGCCGGTGACTTGCGCAGTGACGTGGAGTTTGTCTCCGTGCGGGAGGAGGAATCCTGAGAAAAGGCAGCGCTGCCGTGTA